AGCCAGCATGGTTGAGATCAAGACTGGGTTAGTTACTCTACTTTTCTTTGTGACCACTATGAGAAGCACTGTAAAGAAGGAAGGATTTCTTCTGGCTTGTGGTCAGAGATGGTGAAGTCCATCATAGAGGGGAAGGCAGAAGTATGAGGCATCTGTCACATGTGTCCCTAGTCATGAAGCGGAGAGCCACGAATTCTTGTGCACCATTGGCTTCTCATTGATTATTTATTTATTTATTTATTTATTTATTTATTTATTTATTGCCAGAAACCTCCTCCAGGAGGTGGTACCACCCAGATGTGGAGTGTGTCTTCCCTTCAGTTAATCTGCTCTGGACACTCATGAACTTGCCCCAAACTCAAGTGAGTGTAACCCACTCAGGCTGACAAATTGACTCTTGCAGAACCCAGAGTCCAGGGATCAGCTCCCAAGTTCTGCATCTGCCATCTGTCAATCTGGGAACTTATACAAGCTGCTTCTTTTCTCTGAGTCTCCTTTCCTCACCTGTAAATGAGTGTCATAATGATAACTTATTTTTGATAAAAATGAGACATATTTCCTAAGACTTAATTGCTCAGCAATGTGAGCTCTGCTGCAGTTATTACTGCCTCGCCACCTACAGCTTGCCTAGGTGTGTGGAGGCCACATCCCAGCCACTGTTCCCTTAACTTAAAATAGTATTTGCAGGACCTCCTGTCTACTATCTTATACCTTTCTTATCCCCAGACATCAGTTCATTTGGATCTTCTTCATTCAGCCATCAAGTATGCCTTAGCTACTTTTCTATTGCTGTGAAGAAACACCATGACCAAAGCAATCTATAAAAAAAAGCACTTAACTGGGGGTCTTGCTTATGGTTTCAGAGGGTGAGTCTATGACCTATATGGTAGGGAGCATGGCAGTAGACAGGCAGGCATGGCACTGGAGCAGTAGCTGAGAGCTTACATCTGATCTACAGGCACAGACACAGAGAACTAACTGGGAATGGTGCGTTTGAAACCTCAAAGCCCACCCCCAGTGACACACCCCCTCCAACAAGGCCACACCTCCTAATCCTTCCCAAACAGTTCCACCAACTGGGGACCAAACATTAAAATATATGAACCTAGCCGGGCGGTGGTGGCGCACGCCTTTAATCCCAGCACTCGGGAGGCAGAGCCAGGCGGATCGCTGTGAGTTCGAGGCCAGCCTGGGCTACCAAGTGAGCTCCAGGAAAGGCGCAAAACTACGCAGAGAAACCCT